ACAATATGGGATGCTGGGAATCAACCCGGGTCAGTTGTGTGCAAGGCAAACACCCTACCCGGTGTGCTATTTTTCCAGCCCCTGGACATTTGTATAGTAACTTTTTTTAATGTTGAATATACTTCTGCTGGTTCCTTCAAGCGTGAGGCTCGTCCGAACATGTGGAAAGTGGTCTTAAGCATGGCTGTGGCTGGAAGTTGATGGGTGTAAGCCTACATGCTGGGGCTCTGCTAGGGGTGCGGGATGCGCACCACCTACCAGCTTCCCCCTGGCGTCATTAATCCCATCAACGGCCAAGACCCAGAGACTATAAAACCCAGCTCTCGGAAGAGAACAGTGCAGAGTCTCCTGCCTCCGCACCTGGCTGTCCTCACTGGGGCCCCTCGGAGGAGGGTTGATTGAGTTTCCCTCCTCACCCTGAGCAGAGCCCCTGCAGCTGAAGACCTCCAGTTCCAGCCACAGCCATGCTTAAGACCACTCTTCACACATTCGGATGAGCCTCACACTTGAAGGAACCGGCAGAGGAACCCAGGTGTTCAGGACCCAGGGTGTAGATCATCTCCAAGCCTGCTCTGATCAGGACTGGGCCTCCTCCACCCAGATCCCCCATCTTCCAGTATGTAGGCTTACACCCACCAACTGCCCCTGGCGCCGTGCAATCCCATCAACAGCCAAGATCCAGAGACTATAAAACCAGCTCCCGGAAGTGTGTGGCTGCATTTGCAGCCGCGTGACATCTTGTTATCTAGTTCTTACTCTGGATAACCTGGCAGGCTACCAAAAGTATCCTGCCCACACTACAGAGTCTGGCAAACTCCCCATGGCGTATTCCATATGCCAAAAACCAGTAACAATGATGGATCTCATTCTCCTGACCCTGAAAGAGCCTCGAATGTGGCACTTTTTAAAATCTCTGGGCTAGGACGAAGGAGACGTTACTGGTGCCTGCTCGAGGAAATTGATGAACAACAGGATGACAGTGACAGTTAATAATCAATTGATAGTTCTAAGAAAATGGGGTTGAGGGTATGCCTCATGAAGAGGAATGATCAACTAAATATTTATACGCAATTTATACACATCACAAATTACATGAATTACACGAAACAAAATGTTCCTGGTGCTGGAGTTGATGGATGAAAGGATCAGGCCCTTCAAGGCAAGGTTCTTATTGCCTAGTTAATGTTACTATCATGTGGTATGCATTCGAATTTCTAAAACATAAGCATTCACTCAGTGATATAAATGAGGTGGCTGTTGTTGTTTTTTTTTCTCATTTGTAAGATCTCTACTGAAATGATTGCTCTACAGGGCATCTACTGTATCTTCACTCTCTGAGATAACTGTCCTGTCTCCACTCAGCTGCCATTTCATCATGTTATTTTATTTCCTTCAAGCACTTAGCCTTTACTACCCTGTTTATTTATGTCTGTGTTTTTATTCATTGTGTCTTATTTACCAGAAAGCGCACTCAATGAAAGCACCTGTTCAAATATCATCACAAGGAGTTTTTTCAGACTTTTAGACAGTACTATTCAAAGTGCTAGAGTTCATGAGTTAAGTTTAGTTAAATTCACACTTTAGTACTTGATCCATCGTTTGTTAGGATGAAATAATACTTTGTGACATTTCTTTTTCCCTCAGCAGATAGTATGTATTCAGTCCTTTACTGAAGGACTCTCAGATGGAGCAAACTTTTAAATTTTAATAAAAACTTTTGGCCAGAAAGGCTGGTGACATAGTACAAGGATTAAGGCTCTTGCATGCTGGCAACCTAGCACCACCAGATGTGATCCCTGAGCACAGAGCTAGGAAGAGTCCCTGGACATTTCCAAGTGTGGTACAAAATCAAATAAATAATTTTCAGTTATATAGTCTAATTGCTTTAATGTTAAAATTGCTGCAGATTGTCTTAAGCTTATCTTAAAGATTTATTTCCTCACCTTTATATCTTGTCACTGTCACTATCCTCCCATTGTTCATCGATTTGTTCGAGCGGGCCCAGTAACATTGTGAGACTTATTACTGTGTTTGGCATATCGAATACATCACGGGCAGCTTGCCATGCTTTGCCGTGCGGGCGAGATACTCTTGGTAGCTTGCCAGGCTCTCTGAGAGGGGCGGAAGAATTGAACTCGGGTGGCTGTGTCAGCTGCTTGCAAGGCAAACACCCTACCCGCTGTGCTATCGCTCCAGCCCCTTCATATCTTATTATTGTTATTTTCTATTATTGTTATTTTTTGGGGGGTGCCACATCTATTGGTGCTCAGGGCTTCCTTCTGTGGCTCTGTATTCAGGCATCACTCCCGGTGTGGCTTGAAGGAACTATCGGGGTGCCGGGATCAAACCCAGGCTCACTCACTGCATGTAAGGCAAGCACCTTACCCACTGTACTGTCTCTCCAGCCCCTCAATGTCTTATCTTTTAATTTTATTATGAATACATTGAAACTCAAGGTTCAGCAGAAAGCCTATATTTTGATTATTTTTTCTGCAGACGTGTATTTTTCACCATCTGAATGAGTGATAATTAATGCACTTTTATGTTTATGAAGGTTATATTTACAACTTGATAATAACTATGAAATGTACAGCTGTGTAAATGATACAATTATGTTACAGAACATTTCGGCACACCATAAATTTCCATCATGCTGCCTTTCTACCCAACATTTGTTCCGTGCCCAGCCCCAGATAAATGAATTTCTTCTATGTAGCTAGGAATATTTAATTTTGTCTAGAATTGCTTATATAACACGTAACAACACAGCATGCACTGTGATTATTATTCAGTGTAGTGATTAGTGATCAGTTTTGATTTGTGATCAATTTTTAATGTTGTATCAATAATTTGTTTTACTTTTCACATATTTTAATATCCTATGTGGATGTATCAAAATTTCTTTCTTCATCATTGTTCTCTTGGCTTTCAATTTGGAACAGTCAGACTCTTTGATCATCTATATGAAAACTTCATGGGAATATGTTTTAACTTATATTAAAGTAGTATTGCATTCTGCCATTACATAAATTTCAGATGTACATTATTGAGAATTAACATGAAATTATGCTACACGAAGTTCACGAGATAAAGTCCAGTTGTATCCTACATAATTCCATTATCTCTTGTGTTCTGAGTTGCCTACCCTGTCTTTTCCCTTCACTTGTAGTAAGCACTGTTGGCTACTGTAATCCAGAAGCTTATTTTTGTTTTATTTAATTCTTCTCTGTTTTCTTTATATACCACAGCTAATGATACATAATGTCTTTGCATTTCATTGGTTATTTTACTAGATATAATATCATCTGAGTCCATTAAAGCTGCAAATACTGTGATACATCTTTTCTTTGCCTGAGTAGTATTCCAGTTGCATATATGCTGTATCTTCTTTATATGTTCATTAATTAATGAACTCTTCAATATTTTACAATTACTGGCTATTGTAAATAATGCTTCAGTAATCATGGGGAGGATACATGTATCTCTTCAATCATTGTACTTTGAGGTAAATACCTATAGGTAGGATAACAGGATCATGTGGAATAGCTTTTAAGTTTTTAAGGAATCTCTTAAGTAGCTTTCCATCACAGCTGCACCAATATCACATTATTCATCAACAGTATTAAAAAAGATTCTTCTTCCCACATCCTCTGCAACACCTAATATTTTGGGGACCAGGGTTGTTGGGCCACACCTGGTAGTGCTCAGGGCTCACTCCTGGCAGTGCTTGGGGACCATATATATGCAGCTAGCACATACCGTCAAACTGGGGTTGGCCATGTGCAAGGCAAGTATCTTACCATCTGATCTCACAACGCTCACTCTTATTTAATAAATAATTAAAATAAATAAATGTTGACCTCGGTAAATACCTATTTTATTTTTTTCCAAGGAATGCCTATTAAAGATGATTGATCATTGGCCAGTTTGTGACTTGGCTCAAATCTGATGACGATTTCTCACCAAATCTATTTGACTTGGTTAAGGACGGTGGGCAAGGGACTGGTTTTAAAATAGAAGCTATAAAGTCAATAGAGTATAAAGTCTTGGGAGTCATCTTTGGAGTGATTTAAGTTTCATTATTCAGTGACTCATTTTTATTCCCAGCATCTAGTGCTTTTAACATGGCCCAAAGGGGCTCTGTGCTGCTCCACTGCAGAGGAAACTTCAAGAAATGCTGGTTTGCTACAGTGTTTTAGCTTGTGAGAGTCTCTGGGACCTTCCCTGCTCCATCATGGGGTCACCTCTAGGTGGGTATTGGAGGAAGACCGGTCACTGGTATAACCTTTAATAAAGAACATGGTTATCTCTTCAGGGTCCTCCCCAACTTATTAGTAGTTGCTGTCATCATATATATACTACCCTGGTCCTATTTTGGCACTAAATTACCAGGTTTCTTTGCACCTCAGAATAATGCAACTGTGTCAGTGATGGGAGAATAGTTGGAACAGGTGAGAGAGAACCAGTTTGCGGAGTGAGAATTCAAGTATAAAATCACTCACACTGGCGTTTCTTGCCTTCAAGTCCTTTCATTTCATAGCTCTAGATAAGCCTTCTTGGCGAGCTGAGGTGGGTGGGGTCGGAGTTTGCCATGCTAGATGTTAAGAGATACTGAATGACGACAGTAAGGGGCCTCTTCTCCAGGAATTGGGTTGTTTCTGGAGAAATATTCCCGCCACCTTCAACCTCTTCTGTTTCTATGAGCTGCCTGGACACTTCTTTAAGACTCTAGTATGTCTAACTCCAGCATTTTTGACACTCTAGGGTCTAACATGAAACACAACCCAGGTCATGTTTAGAACATGATTTTAACATCCATCCTCTCAGGTCACCCTGATTCTTTCCCTTCCCTGTCTTTGCATCCAGAAAGAGAAAAATAAGTTTTCTTTTGCTCCAAACCAGAATGAAAATGACCCAGAGGCTTAATATTTAGTGGAGATCACATTCTGGAAATATTTGTAGGACATTGACAGTAATAGCAATTTCTGTTTCCTTTACAGGTCATTTTACTTGGGACAAATACCTAAAAGAAACATGTTCTGTCCCAGCACCTGTGCATTGCTTCAAGCAGGTAAATGATGCTCACCATCTTTAATAGGTGTGAGGCAAGTCATATTTTTCTGGTTGTCTGACAAGCAAACCACAATTAGGGGCCTTGGCCTTCTCCCTTGAAGGCCTCAGAATTAATTTATATGGCAAAATGGAAGTGAAGATGTCTGATTTGGTTCCTCTTTTTGAAAACTGATATTCTCCCTAACTATCTCAAGTTAACACATTTTCCTTCGGTGTCCCCTCCTTGAGCTTATCCTGCTACTGAAAAGAGCTGCTAATTGTTACTGTGGTTCTTAATCTAGACAGATAGGAAAGCGTTAAAGACCTTAAGCAGTTGTTAAAAGTAGAGAGGTATTCACACGTCTGTATTCAAGACCCTTTCACAAACCTATTTTTTCTGATAAGTTCCACTGGGAGTTTTTTTAAATCTCATCAAAAGTAGTCATTCAGCTTCTTCACAGAATTACATGCCCCTCATAGTGTACAAATGACATGTACTATCAGTACACAGTAAATCTGCTTACATATATGAGTATTAAGCTGGGATAAACATCAGGAAGTTATCTACATTTCCTTAACTTTAGTATTCAGTGCTCATTTCTTTAAATCATCAATATTTCACTCCAAAGTTGTATTTTATATGTGTTCTCAATGAAAAAACAAACGTTGGACTTCTGCTCATTTGAAACAATAAAACTCCCCCATGAAATAGTACCAAAAAAAGACAAAATATACTAGTCTTTAACATATTCTTGAAGATAAGCACTGGGAGTTCTGAGAGGTGAGAAACAGATGAATTAGCCCCCTTATGTTATTTCAGCTCACTGCCTTAAGGAAATTTTGAGCCCCTGGCCCAAGAAAGAGGAACCCAGGTTGAACCCAGAAGATTTCCCACTTGAGGAGATGATTTTGGAAATCATGGAAAACTGTGAAGAACTTACTAACTAGAATCTGCAGGACACAGTACCCCAGAGTAGAAAGATGCACAGAAAGAAAACCACAGCGATCTACAGAGAGTTCCATCCAAGTATTCATCAAAACACTATTGTTAACTTCATGCCAGAAAATAAACCACAGCAAGGAGGAAATCATCTGAAGAATTAAAAGCCATAGAGCCTAGTTCTTATATTGAATGGGGAATAACCCCAGTTCACTCATCTTAACAACTAGAACTGAGAATTCACAATTCATGTGGCATTGTGTAGAATATTCGGGATGATTTTTCTTCATAACAGCCAATAATTTAATTTTGTAATTTTCTGTTCCCAGCTAGCCTAACAAATCACAAAAGCATGACTCAAAGTGATGAAACTGCTTCCGAGAAACTTCACCGAATTTTAAAACAGAGTTTAAGAAGGAAATGCAAAAATATTTAGCACTCAGTCGGTAAAATTTTATGTCTGACATACAGTCAAGTAAAGAGGCAGGAAAATATAATCAGTAATGAACAGATAACGTATTTAAACAGACTTATAAGAAAGTATGAATGGAACTGTTGAGGATATGGACCTTGAGGTATCTTCAGGGATTTTGACTCCATTTGCAAAGATAACTCTTCTCCCCCAACCCCCTAAAAAAAAAAAAAGAAATAAGAAGCAGTTGAAACTACATTGAATTAAGATGATTTTGCTTGGCAAAAGAAATTTGCCAATAGAATTAAATGAAAAATTAATGAGAAGATAAAAGTGAAAGATGCCCTACTTAATGGAGAAAATATTTGTACATAAAACATCAGATAAAGGGCTAATATCCAAGATACATAAGCATTCATAAAACTCAAAAACGATCATGATCATCCTGTTGTTTGTCGATTGTCTCGAGCAGGCACCAGTAACGTCTCCTTCTACCTAGCCCTGAGATTTTAAAAGAGCCATTTCAATGCTCTTTCAGGATTAGGAGGATGAGACCCATCATTGTTACTGGTATTTGGCATATTGAGTATGACACGGGAAGTTTGCTAGACTCTGCCGTGTGGGCAGGATACTTTTCGTAGCCTGCCAGGTTCTCCAAAGGAAAGATAATAAGATGTCATGCGGCCGCAAATGTGGCCGCGCGCTTCCCGGGAGCTGGGCTTTATAGTCTCTGTGTCTTGGCCATTGATGGAACCAACCTGGCGCTGTCGGCAGCTGGTGGGTGTGACGTCTACCTACTGGAAGATGGGGGGTCTGGGTGGAGAAGGCCCAGGGTCAATCCGAGTAGGCTTGGAGACCTCAGCCCCGGGACCCGCATGATTGGGTTCCTCTGCCAGTTCTTTCATGCATGAGGCCCATCTGGACGTGTGGAGAGTGGTCCCAGAATGGCCATGGCTGGCACTGGAGGTCCTCAGCTGCTGGGGCTCTGCTCGGGGCGGAGGGGGAGGGAGAGAAACTCAACCTTCCCCCCTCCAAGGGGCCCCGGTGAGGACAGCCAGGTGCGGGGACAGGAGACTGCACTGTTCTCCTCCGGGAGCTGGGTTTTATAGTCTCTGTGTCTTGGCCGTTGATGGGACCAACCTGGCCCTGTTGGCAGCTGGTGGGTGTGACGCCTACCTACTGGAAGATGGGGGGTCTGGGTGGAGAAGGCCCAGTCCCAATCCGAGTAGGCTTGGAGACCTCAGCCCCGGGACCCACAAACTCAAAAACAGCCCTAAAAAAAATAACCCTATCAAAAAAAAAGGGAAAAGAGATATCCAGACACTTCCTTGAAGAATATGTACATAAGGATAGCCAGTAAGCATGAAGAAGGGTTCATCATAACTTATTATCAGGGAAATACAAATTGAAATGTCAGTGATTTACCATCTCATGCCAGTGAGGAGAACATATATCAAGATTGCAAACATCCAGTATTGGCACAGATGTAGTGAAAAAGGAACCCTTAGCCTGAAAATGTTGTCTGGAAGCAGACACTGTGGTGGAGGGTGTGGTGCTGGAATGTTTATGTATGAAATCATACCAATAATAGCTTTTTAAACCACAGTGCTTAAAAATAAAATACAAAAAAATTAAAATGTGTTCAGCTCAGCTTCTGTGAAAAACAGCATGGGGACTTCTCAAAAAACAGAATTTCTATATAGCCTAGCAATCTCACTTCTTGCAACTTCCCCAAGAACAGAAAACCAGTAACTCAAAAGATCTTTTCACACCTGTGTTCATTGCAGTGCTAGGTATATTAACCAAAGTGTCCAATGGCAGATGAAGGTATAAAGAAATTGTGGTATCTATACACAATAGAGTATTATGCAGCTATAAAAACTTGGAGTTTGCTGCAATCTGGATCATATTGGAAGGCATCAATTTAGGCAAAACATATCAGAGGGAGAAGAAGAGATATGGGTGTTCTCCCTCATCTCCCTGATCTCATATAGAAATAAACAAAACAAGAAAATCATTTTAAATGAAGATTAACCCTTCGCCTTTAATTATAAAACTAAGGTTACTAAGAAGTGTGATTGAGGGAGGAAGAGGCGTACTAGAAGTTTATGGACTGTGAGGGGGGTCTCGCATGCTTTGATGGTGGTGAAGATTCAGTAAACACAACGTAATCATAAACATCAACACTGTTGTAACTGTGTTATCTGAAGTACAATAAAAATTAAATTTTAAAAAGTCAGCTGATTTCCTATAACCAGGAATAAGCACATAGAATTTGAAGTTAGTCTACAACTGTACCTCATGGTGTTTACTAATAAAAATTTTTTAAAAGTATAATATAATTGGGGCTGGAGCGATAGCACAGCCATAGGGCATTTGCCTTGCACACAGCCAACATGGTTGACCCAAGTTTGATTCCTCCGCCCCTCTCGGAGAGCCCAGCAAGCTACCGAGAGTATCTCACCTGCACGGCAGAGCCTGGCAAGCTATCCGTGACGTACTCGGTATGCCAAACACAGTAACAACAAGTCTCATGATGGAAACGTTACTGGGCCCGCTCGAGCAAATCGATGAACAACGGGAGGACTGTGACCGTGACCGTGATAATATAATTTATATTAACACTTCCACAATAAAATATGTACAAATGTGTATAATATATAGTAGTTGTATATACTGTGTTCACATTTTATGTGAGGAAAACCATGACACTGGTGAATGAACTACAGAACTAAACAAATGGAGAAATAGTCCATGGTCAAAAAGAGTAAGACTCAAGGGATATCAAATTGTCACTCTTCCTAACTTGGTCTTTAAATCTCTTGTAATTCCATTCAAAATGCCAGAAAGTTATTTTTTGGATATCAACAAACTGGTTCTAAAGTTTATATGAATGGGGGTATGGTGCGGCCAACAGGTCAACCTGTACCTGTGGGGTGAATGCATCAGCAGCCTGATGGTGCCTACAGGCTTCCTGATACCCCAAAATTGCCTCTGTGTCTTTGGCCAGACCCCCAACAATTTGGGACCAAGTTTACCAAGAAATTAATTGGCCAAAAGTTAGGTATGTGAGAGCCATACCCACAGACCACATCCGGCTCAGCTATACAAGCTTATGGGCTTATGGCTTTTGCAGAGTTGGGATGAGCAACCTCCCCCCACTTCCCAATACACATGGAAGCACTGGCAATCACCCCCATGAACCAACTCCAGTGCTACCCTGTAAGCTCTACTACCAGCCTTGCTTCAGAGACCCCTAAATAAATCTCGAAAGAGGTCAAAAGCCGCAGCTAAGCTCGGACCCGGCATGACTGAACAGACCAAAGTAAATAGGAGGTGGCAGGTTGGCCTGTGCTTGCCCAAGCAGAGTCCCTGGCAGCTACTTGCCTCCACCATCCAAAATTGCCGCCATCCCCCCAGCCTGACTCCACTCTCTCTAGGAAGGATCTCATCAAGATATAATCTGCTGAAAATTTTGTAATAGGGATCTTAGCACACCAATAGCCCTGGCTCAGAGACACAGTGGCAAGTCCCAGAAGATACCACAGCTCCGGAGATCTTTCTGGGCCCCATACCAAGCCAATATCACCAGGGCACCCCAGATGGAGCAGGTGCAGACTCCCCGCCTACTCCAGATGGAATCCCAGTGACCAAGAGCTTCCACAAGCAAGGCCCTTGGCATGCGGGTTCCAAGACTAAATCTCCATATTGCATGGTGGCAGAGGACTTGGGCTGTTCTTCCCCAGTTCTCCGCCCACCCAGAAGACTGGTTGTCATGCCCACAATTTGCCTCTGGGTGCCATCTTAGCACATCAACAGCCCTGGCCCAGAGACACAGCAGCGAGTCCTGAAAGACACCTCAGCACCAGAGAACTTTCTGGGCCCCATACCAGGCCAATATCACCAGGGCACTCCAAATGGAGCAGGTGCAGTTCCCCCGCCCCCCGCCTATCCCAGATGGAATCCTGGTGACCAAGAGCTTCCATAAGCAAGGCCCTCGGTATGCGGGTTCAGGACTAAATCTCTAGGCTGCATGGCGGCAGAGGACCTGGGCTATCCTTCCCTGGATCACTGCCTGCCCAGAAGACTGGCTGTCACACCCACAATTTGCCTCCAGGCGCCATCTTAGCGTACCAACAGCCGTGACCCAGAGACTCCCAATTGAATCCCCAAATGGATTAGTGCCATGCAGAGATGTCTCTGGAACCCAACCATTTACAATCTAGAAATTTACATTTACAATCAGAGGCACATGAGTTCTCAGGATATTCAAAATGAGCAATGGAAAATAAATTATCTCGCATCTGCCCCGGCATGTAGGCTTGAACGGTGGCGGGAAAATTTGAGCAAAACATAATGCCCTAAATCAGAGAGAGAATACTGTGGAGAGTGTCTGCCATAGAGGGAGGGTGAGAACTGGGATGTGGCCATGTGTGTGTGTGTGTGTGTGTGTGTGTGTGTGTGTGTGTGGCAGGGGGTGGGGTGGGGACATCGGTGGTGGAAAGTGTGCACTGGTGGAGGGATGGGTGTTCCATCATTTTATGGCTGAATCTCAAACACGAAAGTTTTGTAACTCTATCTCACGGCGATACAATAAAATAGGAAAGTAATGTAGAGTTCATGACCAATTCAATCAGCTTAATCAATGACGGGATAAGTAGCAGTACTCCTACGTTATTTAAAAAAAATAAATAAATTTTATATGAATGATCAAATCACTTAGAATAGCAAACACCACTTATTATGGACTGGAGATATAGTTCAGTGATAAAGCTCATGTATTGCATACATGAGGTCCTGGATTTGTCCCCTGGTACCAATTCCTCCCCCCCCCCCCCCCACAAAAAAAACCTGCCCAGGACTTGTTCTATAGCAACAGTCAGGCCAAGGAGATAGTACAAAAGATAAAGCTCTTGCTTTGCACACAGGCAATACTTGTTCTTTCCCCAATACCACATATGATCCCTTCAGCACCACTAGGAGTGATCCCTGAGCACAGTCAGAAGTAAGCCCAGAGGACCACTGGATATAGGCCAAAAATAGCACCAAAAAACTAACAGTATATCAAAGGCCTAATAAAAAATGAACTGTAAAGCTGCTAGACAATAAAGAGGAGAGAATAACTAACAAGAAAACCAAGATGACTGTGGGTATGGTAATGACTAGATGCAACGCCAAAGGCACAGTCCGTGAATGAAATAATATGCTAGACTTATTAAAATTTTAAAAAATAACTGTCAAGGGAATGAGAAGACAAGTCACAGACTGGGAGATATTTTTTTCAAAACATACATAATTTAAGGACTGTTGTCCAAAATATACAAAGGATGTTTAAAGGTTCAACAATAAGAAAAAAAATCCATTTAAAAATTAGCCAGGGCCTGGAGCGATAGCACAGTGGATAGGGCATTTGCCTTGCACACGGCTGACCCAGGTTCGACTCCCAGCATCCCATATGGTCCCCTGAGCACCGCCAGGAGTAATTCCTGAGTGCAAAGCTAGGAGTGACCCCTGTGCATTGCTAGGTGTGACCCAAAAAGCAAAAAAATAAAATAAAATAAAATTTTAAAAAATTAGCCAAAGACCCGAAGCCTCACCAATGAACAAATATAAAAGATGGCAACTGAAAATGTTTCCCACACCATATGACACCAGGGAAGTGTAAATTTGTAAATTAAAATGAGAAGCCATGTCCTGGAAGGGAGCATAACATGACACTTGCCATAACCATGCCGCCAGACACTGTGGCTGGCTGTTTCACTTGGGGCACCCCCGAGTTGGGTGGGTGAGACCCCTTAACTGCCCCATGGGACCCAGCCCTGGCAGCTGAAAACCTCCAGAACTCAGCCGCCGCAATGCTCACGGCTAAGTTTTCAGCGGTTTTTCATAAAAAAAAAAAAATTATTTCGGTTCTGCTTTGGGGCAGGGATTGGGGTTTGGGATGGAAACATCTGAACTATGGTGGTGGGAAGGTGTAATGTGGTGGGATTGGTGTTTGAATATTAAATGTAATCGAATAGTGTGAACTACTTTATAAAATAAAAAATAAATGAATTAAAAAATAATAATAAAATAAAATGAGCTGCCACTATACACCTTTTTAAATGACCAACATCTAGAACAGTGACACCACCAAACAGTCTCAAGGATGAGGAACAACAGGAATTCTAATTCTCTGCTTGTGAGAATGCAAAATGGTACATTAGTTTGTATGACAGTTTGGATATTTCTTACAAAACTAAAGCATGTTCCTTAGGTGTTTGCAGAAGAGAGAAAAACTAAGTCCATTAAGAAAAAACAGGATAAAAAGGCTTTTTATTAAAACTTTACTCAATCGTTCACACTGGATGCAACCAGGATATCCTCCATTTGGCAAATAAAATAAATTGTGGCAGACATACAATGAAATATTATTTATTTTTCAGTTCCCTGAATAAATTTTCTAGCAAGCCATGAAAAGACACAAATATTATTAGTAAGTTAAAGAAGCCAGTTATTCATAATAGGTTATATACAGTTTGATTCTAACCATCTGACCTGGGAAAGGTAAAACTGCGGAGACTAAAAATGGTCAGTAGTTGCTGATGGTGAAGTGGGAGAGAGATGAATTAGCAGAACACAGAGGCATTTTAGGGCAGTGAAATTATTTCATGGTATTCTAATGGTAGATTCATGTCATTATATGCTTTTTTGAAACTCCTAGAACATACACCAGTATGAACTCTGAGTTTTGAGTGGTTATTATGTGTTTGCTCAGATTTATCAGTGATAACAAATGTTGCACATTGGGGAGGCATATTTATAATTGGAGAGACTTTTCATGTGTGAGCAGAGGGATGTATGTGGGAAAACTACTCTCTACCTTCTTAATTTTGCTGTTAACCTAAAACTCCTCTAAAAATTTCAACTTAAAAAAGAATTATTGATAAATTCACCAATATAGGTGAATATAAGTTTAGTTATGCTGAATAAGATAAGCTAGACTGCCCCCAAGAATATATTCTTGCTGGAGTGATAGCACAGCGGTAGGGCGTTCGCCTTACAAGTGGCCAACATGGCCGACCCAAGTTCGATTCCTCCGCCCTTCTCGGAGAGCCCGGCAAGCTACCGAGAGTATTCGATATGCCAGACACAGTAACAACAAAGTCTCCAATGGAGACGTTACTGGGCCCGCTCAAGCAAATCGACGATCAACGGGAGGGCCTTTTTACCTTTATAAAACTAGAAAATTCAAATCCACACAAAACCAGTGTTTGGGGACAGAAGTTTGGGAGTGACCATGAGAAAACTTGGGCGTTCATGTGATTATCTCAGCATATTGATGATTTCAAGGGTGTCTATTATGTATTTATTGTTAGAGGTGTATAGATATGTCAAGACTTAACCAAAACATATAGTTTACTGTAGGCCCATAATAGCTTAAAACTTTCAAAAGTATAATTGAGGCGCGGGGAGAAAACTCAAAGAGCAAAACCCTTGCATGGGAAGGGCCTGATTTCAATCTCTGGCTCCACATGGTCCCCCAGGAACTGCTGGATATGACCCTGACGATCCCCAGCCACGCTAGGCCCAAAAAGTATCCATGTATACTATTACTTAATATATGGTAATATATATGGTAATATATAGTTACATATTATATACATATAGTATTGTTGTGCATGAGTAATTAATTACTGGAATGCTCGAGAAAGGACAATTAGGATATGATAATTCAACAGAATATGATGATTTTGGAAAGAACCTATTATGAATACCTGTAGGATTGGGAAGTTGGGGAAGATGGGATAAGAAAGCATTTGACTAAGGGCCATCTGAAAGACTATACTCTGTCCTTTTCTTACTGGTGTGAAACAACATTTGATTCTTCAGTGTAAAGTAAATTTTTTCTCTTCATCTCCAATGTTTCTTTTATCCTGAAGTGCATCCTAAGTATTAGGAAATAACTCAAGGGAGTTGTCTCAGCCTAGTTGTAATCAGTTTTAGTCAAAACATAAATGTTCAGATTCCATCTTTTACTGTTCATATGGAAAATGCTATTTTCTCTTATTCTACCTAACCCTTGTGGCTTGTTCTCCTCAGTCCTACACACCTCCAAGCAACGAGTTCAAGATCAGCATGAAACTAGAAGCCCAAGACCCCAGGAACACCACCTCCACCTGTATTGCCACAGTAGTTGGACTGACGGGTGCACGCCTCCGTCTTCGCCTGGATGGCAGTGACAATAAGAATGATTTCTGGAGGCTGGTCGACTCAGCCGAAATCCAGCCCATTGGGAACTGTGAGAAGAATGGGGGTATGCTGCAGCCTCCTCTGGGTGAGTAACTGCAACCAACTGTGTCCTAGCTTCTTCTCTTCCACAGCAATGTCTACTATAATGTAAAATATCTATTATCTATTTTTTAATTAAGTCCATAAGAAAAGGCACATGCCAAGTGAAATGAAATATAAAATATAGACACCTCTGGCTCTACTTTCACTGAGGGCATCAAGGTTCCCTCAATTTTTTTTCCTATCTGAGAGAGAATGGAAAGATGTCTGTTTTTAAGCTACTTCAAAATACCTAAGAGCTGTTCCCAATTCCTACAATAATAAAAAGTGAGAGAAAAGAGTTTTCCCAAATTTTCACTTGGCCTTTCAAATTTTCTTGAATTCATTATTAAGTAAAATTTTAAACTAATAGTCCCAGTAGATTTTTTTCTGCTCAAGATCAGATTTACTGTTTTCCTCCCTCAGTATACTGACTGATATAACCAATGTCACCAGTTGCATTGCAGTGAGGCTCAGTGGAGCAGAGAGAGATGAGTTATGAGCTATGAGCTGTATTCCCCTCAGAAGACTATGCGAGATTAATTGAGCATTAGAGGATATATATTATTTGAAAAAGCTCCCCAGGTGGTTATTTAATATTTTCCCATTAAAACTATTTGTAATGTAAATTTTCAAATCTCTACATAAGTACAATAGCTAAATGAATGGCCTGGATATCTCTTATCTTTATTAGGACACAATCATATTTTATCTGTACAATTGTTCATTGCCTATCATCTCCTGCCTAATTACCAAAAAGTAAGGTAAAGGTAAAGGCCCTCCCGTTGATCCTCGATTTGCTCGAGCGGGCCCAGTAACATCTCCATTGGAGACTTTGTTGTTACTGTGTCTGGCACATCGAATACTCTCGGTAGCTTGCCGGGCTAGCTCATTTTATTATTAAATATTTGATGTTTAGCTATTATAGGTATTTAAATATATTAGCACAAATAGATGAACCAATGATAGTTTCTTAATATCAACAAATATTTACTCAGTGCTCAAATTTTTCCAACTGTCTCTGTCCCCTCTCTCTCTCTTCTCTCTCTCTCTTTCCCTCTCTCTCTTTCCCCTGCCTCTCTCTTTTCTGTTACCCTTCTCTTCTCCTCCTTTCTTCCCCCTTCAAGTTTCTTTGAATCAGGATCCAAAAAGATTAATATATTGGTTTATATATTTAAGTCTCTCTTTATCTCTAATTCTTATTATTTACTGTAAAAATCCTAAATTGTTTGCTTTTAAAATTTCCAGTTAGATTTTATTGTATCCCTATGATATTGCTTAACATAATTCTCTGTTTTTTCTTTCCTAGAAATAGGGTTAGATCTAGAGGTTTGATCAGGTTCATTTTTTTTCCATAAGGATATTTCATAGGTGGTGTTTACTCCTAATAGGAGCATATAGCCTGGTTCTCACTCATTTTAAAGTGTAGCAGCTATTACTGCTTAAGTCCTAAATTCAAACGGACTTTTCAGTAAGTCCAACAGAAAAAATTTCAAGTTTGCAGACCATATATTCTTTGTGATTGTAATCCTGTAGCCGCCATAGAAACTGCCTAAACAGCTACAAATAGCCATTTTGGTAATGCTATGGTCCAATAAAACTTTATTTATAAAAGTGGGTTGTTGACCTATTAACTATAGTTTTATGATCCTGATTTAAATGCATCAGTTCATTATGGTTACGTAATGGGAAATTTAAATCTTATTTTGACCACATAAGTGGAATATATGTATTAAATTTTCATTAGTTATTTGTTAAAAGCAGTTTACAGGCTTATTTTATTTACCAATTTTCAAGAAATAATGAATTAGTTTATTAGCATCCTCTAAAATATTTAGGGAGGATTTTATTGTTGTTATTAAGCATCTAAACTCAAGGGTTCATACATATTTAATGTGTTTCACTCTCTTTGCTACTAATAGTTATTGATTCTTGGATGGTCCCATCTTTGGTCTTGTAAGAGCTTCATCAAGTTGTCTTCTGACTCTTTGTTACTTGATAACTTCCTTGAATTTTAAAAAATTTCAAAATGTTTCAGAATTATCTTTTACATTCCTACCCCAAACATAGAATTGCTTTTCAGGAACCTAGCCTTATTTGAATGGTTATTTTTGTTCAGTTTTATTTTGGCCCCACAGACAGCAGTGCTCAGGGCTTCTCCAGGTTTTATGCGTGGTCGTCCACGTGGAGGCAGAGATTGAACTCAGACCTCTCTTACGAAAAGCATGCACCCAGCCCTTTGAACCTCTACTGCCCCACTGGATACTTTTTCAATAGCGTTTACAAACTAAAAACTAGAGACTAGAAAACTAGAAAACTGAAAACTAGCTCTTGGTGCTAATGGATTAGTCATTCTGTCTAGGTCCTTCTAGTATAGGAAGGAAGAAATTACCTTTTAAAAATATTTCTTTAAATAATCAGTATTGAACTTCGTACTGAAATTGAGACACTAGTACTTTCATCATTTCCTCTTTGGTCTTAAATCTCTATCTCCTTGGTTTCACAACAAAACCAGTTTTCCTTCATTTCTCCATATCACCAACAAAATAACTCATTTCTTTTATCTTAAATTTCAGATATTATCATCTCAGAACAACAATACTAGCATTGCAACCACTGATGATTAATAACAGAGTTTGAATGATTCATTTTCCTTTTTTTTTTTCTTACCATCTAGGGATGTATACTCAAATAATGTGTTACAATATTTGGATTAGTTTCTCTCTGGGTCATATTGTCACCATCTTGATATAAATTTAGTCTCGTTTGCTTTGTGTTTTATTTTTAAAATTGCATTTTTAAAATTTTACTTTGTAAATATATCATTTAAAACTGAAATACATAAAACAGATTTGAGAAATTACCTTCATCCTATACCTTTCTTCTGCCATAGTTATATACTTTCTTTTCATTTTATTGTCTATACTCCCTTAAAATAAATAAAAATAAATACATTTGTGTATAAAAAAAACACTGTCCTCCCATTGATCATCGATTTGCTCAAGCAGGCCCAGTAACATCTCCATTTTGAAACTTGTTGTTACTGTGTTTGGCATATTGAATATGTCACGGGTAGCTTGCCAAGCTTTGCTGTGTGGGCAAGATACTCTCGGTAGCTTGCTGGGCTCTCTGAGAGAGGTAGAGGAATTGAACCCGGCTCGGCCAGGCTGGCTGCGTGCAAGGCAAACGCCCTACCGCTGTGCTATCGCTCCAGCCCTACATTTGTGTATATGAATTTATAATACATATACTGAAACTTCTTGTAAGAATTCTATCACAGTATATATACTTCCCTCAAGTTTGCTTTTTTAATGAAGTGATATATCCTAAGGGTAACTTCTTACTAGTATAAAGATATCTCTCCTTCCTTTTACCACTTTGTAGTACTATATTATTTATAACCTACTTTGTGCATCACTGCTTAGAAGTATTTATTAAAATAAGAGTTCTCAGGAATAAAGGTGACCATTTAAATAAAAATGTTTTTATAAATTTTCTAGAAGTGTAGAGATCAAAAAAAAGGAAAGTCAGTCAAACCACTCAGAACTCATGCATAAGCATGACAAGAAGTCAAGAACATCACCAGTTTTAATTATTACTTTATATTACAATATAAAAATATAAAATTAATACCCAACCCATACAAGAATGAAAACTAATCCAGTGAAAACTGCAGATTATAAGAAAAGGATAGGGAAGTGGTTCAAGGGGTATGCATCCTGCATATTCGGATCCTGAGTCTCAGTTCTGGCACTGCATGCCCAACCCCCTTGGGCACTACTGGGTATGGCCAACTGGCCCAAGAGCACTGCAAGGCCAAAGCACTGAAGGGCTTGAATACCGCCAGAAATAGTATCCACAGCAATAAAGCCAAATAAACTAAAAGAAGAGGGAAATGGAGGCTTAGCAGTTCAAATCATTTCCAGAAAAAAGAAAAAACCATCCAGAGTAGAATATAATGAAAAAAATTAAGAACAATTGGATTAGAATTCTTTGTCTAGTGCTAACTAGAAGGACGAAAATGAATTTAAATAATAAAGGATTAAAACAGGAGTCTTGGTAAAATAACATTGGGGAAGAGAGAGGCATAATAAAAGAGAAAAGGAAGCAAGGGATGAAATTTTAGAGTGCTACGAAAACATAAGAGAACAGTAATTAGAAGTCAAAAGATGGACTGTTCTTCCCATCCTGCCCAAACAGTTTAGTCTGCTAAAGGAACTGCATTTCACTCTGTCAACAGAAATACTTACGCCCTAGGCTGGAGACATAGTAAAGAGGATAAGACATTTTCTTTGCATGCCATCAATCCAGGTTTTATCCCCGGTACCACATGGTTGGTCTACCAAGCAGCGGTGGGAGTGACCCCAAACACAGAACCAGAAATAGCCATGCCCACCACTGAGTATGACCCAACCATCCCAATTATCTATCTGAAATAAATATGTATGCCCCAAGGTTACTGCCCAAATAGAAACGCCTGATTTTGCCGGTTCAGGGAAAGATATTTTCAAAGTCTTTATTGAGGTTTTGTGATTTACAGCACTGTTAATGATTTTCATGCGTGTGTCATTTTAATACCACACTCACCACCGGGGCTCCCACTTCCCTCCACCAAAGTCCTAGAGGTCCCTCCCGTTCCATTCCCCAGCTCTCCAGTTCTGTTTCCTTTAACCATTTGTTGCTCCCTTATGATGTGCCATTAAATCCCACAGAGGAGAGAGATCATTCTATGTCAATCCCCTTCCTTCTGAGGACTTCACTCAATATGATACCTTCTGGTTTCATCCATGTAGCAGCAAATTGCGTGATTTTGTCCCTTCTTACAGTTGTATGTAGTCCATTGCGTATGTCTACTGCAACTTCTGGGTCCATTTATTCATAATTGGAAATTAGGTTGTTTCCATAGCTAGGCAGTAGTACTGCGGTGAACATGAGTGTGCATATATCCTTTCAAAGTAATGTTTTTGTGCTTTGGGGGGTAGATGCCAACAAGTATTAAAAAATAGA